TCCCAAATTTTTGCTGCACATGACACTGAAAATGCAGTTTTGCCGGCATGAAAAGAAAGGAACCGTTTTAATACTGTGTATTGTAGCGGTAGTTTTAGTGGGTGGTTGTAAAACTCTGATACCAGGGTTCATCGGGTCGTTGGGCGACCTTCTTTCGGTTTTTTTGTTTTGTAACACGTTGTATGAAGTTTACTGCGTGTAACTTGAGATTTAGTAAAATCATGTAAAATATCTTGCAAATTATTAAAAATGTGAATGGCACTAACATTCTTTGATAAAATTAAAGGCGCAAAACAAAAAAAAATATTTTTATTAAAAATCGATGTTTTTTTTTTAATAAAAATCGATTTATTTTTAATCGATTTTTATTAAAAATCGATGTTTTTTTTTTAATAAAAATCGATTTATTTTTAATCGATTTTTTTGCGACTAGAAATAATCGATTATAAACAAGTCGATTTTTTATTGCTCAAGTCACATCCCTAGTCGGATGTCGCGTGTGATTCCCGTCATAGGAAAATTTTATTCGGATTCGTGGTTTATAGAATCGCACCTAATTTATTTACCCGCTGCCCTCGAAGGAATAGAACGTTTTCAAATTATTAATTAGATTCTTAAATCAATTCAGTTGAGACTTAGAGAGTATTAATGTTATCGACATACATACCTCCATATAATTTAGGAAAACTTGCAAAATTTTCACCGCAGGCTGGATTTGAACTAGCGACCTTCGCCATCTGTACTGGCGAACTCTACCAATTGGGCTACAGCGACTTACTCCGACAATTAAGCAAGTATATCTTGGCCCATAACCTTGCAAGCAAAACCGTAACAAAACAAAATATCACAGATCTTTCGACAAAAGTAGTCCAGTCAAAATGAAGCTTGCGTGACTGATAGCGAAAACTCAGAACCAGCTGGTGATTAGGTAACAGCGCTAACGTAAAATTTCACTCAGTATAAAGCGCTTAATACAGAATCTCTATTTACTATATTATTAGCAAAATTATTATTCATTCTTTCATTTTTCATCGGCTCCATCTTGGTAATAAATCTCGTGAAAACAAAAAAAATTCCCTACTTAGTTATGAAAATGAAAGTTGTAGTTACTGTCGAATGATTAGTAACTTTAGTTTTATAGGTCGGCTATTGTTCCACTAATTCATTTCCGCTGTGTACAATGGACGGAGAACAATGAAATCTTGAATATGGATAAAACGTGAATGTTAGCGCTTTTTAGGGTTCCGTACCCATAGAGAAAAAACGAGTACCTACCCTATTGCTGCTGGTAAATCGCTGTCTGTCTGCCCTTCTGTTTCCAAGCTCTAACTCGTGAACCGTTAGTTATAGTCGTAGTTGAAAAAGTGAAATCAATGACGCCGTATTTGGGCATTCCACGAAAAGTACAACTTTGTTCCGCACGGGGCGTGTATAGTAGCAGAGCTACAGTGCTTGTTGAGCCTAATGAGGAAGTTTAAGACTGTTTTTATACTTTACAAGCGGCCCGTCAGCGTTGTCACTCTCTGTAACTCAATTTTCCCGCGGGAAAATACGTTTTCCCAGCATGTTTACATACATCATTCTATCTGTTACATAAAAGAGCGCATCAAAATCTGTTTTAGGAGATATTGTCGAATTCCACGACAGACAGACGAGGAACGCAAAAAGTGACGTCATTGTATACTATGTAAATATTAACGGTTCGGAACCCTTCCGTAAATCTGACTCGCACTTGGTCGATTTTTATTATTCTGTCGATGTAATGATCATAATAAAAATGGAATAGATTAATATTTCATTGCTCCATTAATTACTTATGGTAGTTTAACATAGTTTTTTTTATCGTGCGTTGGAAATGGGCTTCTCCGAAAATTAATTTTTATTCTTGTGTCAAACGAATGGGAAAGCGTATTTTTCGTCCTTGGGCAACAATTTATAGATTGGCAATTTATTGAATTTGCTCCTAAATTGGATGTTGAAAAACTATCTACTGTCTGTCAGCAACTACAGACACACCAAGCTCCACATATGAGTCGTTGACATGAGACGTGCGACATCGCGACGCTTGAAACCATTTCCATATAAAATGTATGAAATAGTAGAGACAAAGCTACACGACACGCGTAGCATCGATGACAGCCGACGACGATCACTTGACTGATAGATAGCATGTTACTTCTCACGTCTCCTATAAGGAGCTTGTGCCTCACATAATCATCCTACACTGACGAACTTAAGTCTTCCCCAGGTTACACCTTAAAGCATGATCTACCGTTTTCGGCATCCCGTCGCTACCAACCGCTCTCTACAGTATAAAACGCTATATCAAATAACTACTATAGCCTGCTAAAACTAAATAGCCTACTAAAACTAGTTACACGTCGTCGCAGACTTTTATTTAGTTTTCTAAAAACCTCTATTATCCCAATTTTATTACCCAATCTTCTTGAAAGTAAACTTGCGCCAAAATAGACACCCTATTAAATCGCCTTGGATAAAATATCGCTTGAAATAAATATTATCATGGAGTAACCTATTATTTTCAAAGACGCCTTAGAAAAGATTTCCATTTTCTGGGAAAAATACGACTAAGTATTTGTAATTTTAGTGCTCTTCGAGTCAGATTGTTTTTGCATTTTTATGGGTTTAAAGACGTCAGCCGCGGCGGCTGTTACATAAACATACAAGGGTAGACAAATCTGTCACCATGGTGATACACAATCTTCGGAATGACTCTCAAACTTTTGTCAGATCAGCCAGACAGATTACTGTCTGCCTACCCCGCAAGGGTAGGCGATATAGGCGAGATATAATATAAGTATGTAAGAAAATATACCTTTAGGACCAAAATATTGAATTCCTAAAATGTTGAATTCTCAAAATGTTGAATTCCTAAAATGTTGAAAAAAATCTACTTTGCAAAATGTTGAATTCCTTATAACCTAATTACACGGTTTCAAAGTAGGATAATCACGATCGTAATCTCACGGAGATTCCAACGTCAAAAGTTCCGAAAACTTTTACGTCGAGCGGCAAAATGATACTTAGGTGCCTACTTCATACACGTGACTTAATTACGAATTAGGCGCTTTGCACACATAACATGCTTTATCGCATCGCAGCGTTAGGAAAATGCGAATTTCCACCTTACTTCTATATACAGTATAGATGTAGTAACATATTTAACAAAGAATTTCATAAATCCACGGCATTTTGAAAATTGACAATAAGGTCGAAAATTGCTTGAACCACTTTTTTGCTTTAAATTCAATAATAGAGTTAAACAATATGGTGCAAACAATTTTCGACCTTATTGACATTTAACAAACTTAAATATTGTAGAGATTTAGTAGTAGTAGAATTCTGAGGATTAACAATAAAGTCGAGAATCGCTTGCATCACTTTATTTGCTATGAAACCGATATAATAGAGTAAAACAATAATATGGTACACGCAATTTTCAATTCATCTATTAATATTTCAGCGTAAATTTTTTCTGTCCGCAATTTCATATTCCCCTAAACATGACACGTTTTCCAACTTTTGAAATTCGAATCTGTGGAACAAAATAGAGAGTTTACAGAAAGTTCACTCGTACATTTCGGATTTTCGCGATTGGCACTTTGTATGTTTTTTTTATTTCTATCTATGTTTTTGAAGAAAGTTGTTGAGTTTCATGGACTGATTCACCCCTTAAAATATTTGCAGTATTTTTTTTACATACCGTATTGTTACATGGAGAAGTCCCTGATTGTCTAAAAAGCCTGGTGGACTTGTGAATGCGCCTGTCAAACCGATTGACGCAGCGTTGGGCATGCGTAGTGGTAGGTATTTATACGGAATTGAGGTGAAAAATCGCATTTTCCTAACTCTGCGATAGCGAAGCACAAAAAGAAACGTCGAAACGAACGTTATGTGTATAAAGAAGAGAGAGAGAGAGAGAGAGAGCGCCTTAGACATTACTGCAAAAGTTTGAGTAGGGAGACGATATACACGTAAAACTCATAAATATTTTAATAAGATGTAACAGACACTCCCCCAGTGATTTCCGTATTCTACTCTTAAAACTCATACTCATAAAAATTTTTGGAAAACTTCCAAAATTTTCACCGCAGGCAGGATTTGAACCTGCGACCTTCGGCATCAGTACTGCCGACGCCCTAACCAACTGGGCTACCGCGTTTCTAATCGAGCCCGCGAAATTATGGAAGTATATCTTGTCCACTATCGCGTGGATGGGCTCCATCTACCGGGATAGTTTTTCAACTAATTCCCAGCGACTAATTAATTCTTTACAGATTGAATGTAGTCAAAGCGATGAAAACCCGCGATAAATTGAATACCAAATTTTTTAAAACACTTCTCGTGTTAGGTAAACAATTTTTGGAAATCTTCCAAAATTTTCACCGCAGGCAGGATTTGAACCTGCGACCTTCGGCATCAGTACTGCCGACGCCCTAACCAACTGGGCTACCGCGGTTCTAATCGAGCCCGCGAAATTATGGAAGTATATCTTGTCCACTATCGCGTGGATAGGCTCCATCTACCGGGATAGTTTTTCAACTAATTCCCAGCGACTAATTCATTCTTTACAGATTGAATGTAGTCAAAGCGATGAAAACCCGCGATAAATTGAATACCAAATTTTTTAAAACACTTCTCGTGTTAGGTAAACAATTTTTGGAAATCTTCCAAAATTTTCACCGCAGGCAGGATTTGAACCTGCGACCTTCGGCATCAGTACTGCCGACGCCCTAACCAACTGGGCTACCGCGGTTCTAATCGAGCCCGCGAAATTATGGAAGTATATCTTGTCCACTATCGCGTGGATAGGCTCCATCTACCGGGATAGTTTTTCAACTAATTCCCAGCGACTAATTCATTCTTTACAGATTGAATGTAGTCAAAGCGATGAAAACCCGCGATAAATTGAATACCAAATTTTTTTTAAAACACTTCTCGTGTTAGGTAAACAATTTTTGAAAAACTTCCAAAATTTTCACCGCAGGCAGGATTTGAACCTGCGACCTTGGGCATCAGTACTGCCGACGCCCTAACCAACTGGGCTACCGCGGTGCTGATCGAGCCCGCGAAATTATGGAAGTATATCTTGTCTACTATCGCGTGGATGGGCTCCATCTACCGTCTATCATAAAAATTATATGATTTTTACTATAAAAAATAATTGTTAACGTTGCGGAAAATACGGACTATTGAATAATAGAAAAGGTCAAAAATCACTAACTAATGTTACCCTAGCAGACAACATAGACAATGTTCTTTAAAATTGATAGAAAATAAAAAGTGCCTGTGTGTTGCCAAGACGAGTTTCGAGTGAGTTCCGGTAGTGACGAAAATAGTTCTGCTCGCAGAAGATGTTTGTTTACACGAAGTTTACACTTAGCAGCCACCCGCAGACTCATCAGGTTGCCCATAAACATGGTGATTAACATCACCTAAATATTAGGAACTCAATGAAAATAAACTGTGAGTAAAAATCCCGTCAATATGTGTAATAGTAAATTTGTGTTTGTTTTGTGATTTTGTGTTCAAGCAAAGAATGTTGCGCCGACCCCAAGCAATTGGGATAAGGGCAGGAAGATGATGATGAGTTGGTTGGTACCCTTATTTTCCAAGCGTCGCGACAACGACGCCGTCAAATTTTGACCGCGTCGTTGTCGCTGCGGTCTTGTAGAAAAACCCGACCGCATCCCATACAAACTCTAAGCTTCTCAGCGCGCTATCAACGTGACGGCGTCGTCGTGGCGCGCCGCAACGACGCCGACGCTCGGTCTTTCTGGTTCCCCATACAAACCAGTCATTTGACAGCAACAACGGCGCGCGTCGTTGTCGCTGTCGCTTGGTTTTTAAGCCTCCCATTAGTCGCCTCTTACGAAACCCGTGGGATGATGACATGCCGGCATCACACGAATAAAACATCACCTAAATATCAGGAACTCAATAAAAATAAACCGTGAGTAAAAAACCCGTCAATATGATAGTAAAAAAAAAGTGTTGCAAGTAAGATACATACCCCATAACGTACCTGATCCGCAGGCCCATGCGGACGTAGAGCGCGAGGATGATCAGCCCCGGGAGGATGAAGAACAGCAGGCTGCTCAGCTCGCACAGGTACCAGGAGGGCAGCTCCAGATAAATTCATCCAGGAATTTATCCCTTAGTGGCCACTTACGACACCCGTGGGGGTGATGACATGCCGGCATGTCAAAAACATCATCTAAATGGTCTCGCAAACAAAAGGCAAAAACGACATCTAATTATGCATGTGCCAGTCTCCAATTACACCTTCGCTTCGTTTGTAGAGCGTGCGGAAAGTCATGCCGCTCCCGTATCGGCTTATACAGCCATGAAAAATCTTGCCTCAGACACTGAATAAATCGTCTGTCACAGACGTATGAGGCCAGGTTCAGGTTCAAATGTCAGGAACCCAATAAAAATAAACCGTCAGTCAAAACCCGTCTATAAGTGGACTAGTAAAAAAAAGTGTTGCAAGTAAGATACATACCCCATAACGTACCTGATCCGCAGCCCCATGCGGACGTAGAGCGCGAGGATGATCAGCCCGGGAGGATGAAGAACAGCAGGCTGCTCAGCTCGCACAGGTACCAGGAGGGCAGCTCCAGATAAATTCATCCAGGAATTGATCCCTTAGTCGCCTCTTACGACACCCGTGGGGTGATGACATGCCGGCTTCACACGGATAAAACATCACCATAAGAATAAATAATCATCACCTAAATTATTAGGAACTCAATTAAATTAAACCGTGAGTAAAATCCTGTCAATATGTGTAAAAGTAAAAAAAAAGTTGAATAGGTCCATCCTACTTGCACTATCACTGTACTAAACTACTTGAAATGATACTTCTTCTTGCACTGGTAGAATGAACACTTTTATTATTGGACTGTACACTTCTTGAATTCACAAACATCAACTGATTTGGGTCTTATATAGTATCGCCGTGAACAAAGTCATATCGCGTTCTAAAACGATTCTAACGACATCTATTGGACGCCAGCGACGTTAAAAAAAGAGTTGTAAGTAAGATACATACCCCATAACGTACCTGATCCGCAGGCCCATGCGGACGTAGAGCGCGAGGATGATCAGCCCCGGGAGGATGAAGAACAGCAGGCTGCTCAGCTCGCACAGGTACCAGGAGGGCAGCTCCAGATAAACTCATCCAGGAATTTATCCCTTAGTCGCCTCTTACGACACCCGTGGGGTGATGACATGCCGGCATTAGGGTGTCATTTTGACAGCTCCGCTACGCATCCTCGTACGACACATTTTACTCGCACAGCTCTGGTGGATTCTCACCCTTACACAGATAAAACATCACCATAAGAATAAATAATAACACTTAATATTAGGAACTCAATGAAATTAAACCGTGAGTAAAATCCTGTCAATATGTGTAATAGTAAAAAAAAAGTTGAATAGGTCCATCCTACTTGCACTTATCACTGTATTAAACTACTTGAAATAATACTTCTTCTCTCACTACTGGTAGAATGTTATACTGTACACTTCTTGAACTCACAAACTTCAAATGATTTGGGTGTTATATAGTTTCGCCGTGAACAAAGTCATATCGCGTTCTAAAACGATTCTAACGACATCTATTGGACGCTAACGACGTTAACAAAAGTGTTGCAAGTAAGATACATACCCCATAACGTACCTGATCCGCAGGCCCATGCGGACGTAGAGCGCGAGGATGATCAGCCCCGGGAGGATGAAGAACAGCAGGCTGCTCAGCTCGCACAGGTACCAGGAGGGCAGCTCCAGATAAATTCATCCAGGAATTTATCCCTTAGTGGCCACTTACGACACCCGTGGGGGTGATGACATGCCGGCATGTCAAAAACATCATCTAAATGGTCTCGCAAACAAAAGGCAAAAACGACATCTAATTATGCATGTGCCAGTCTCCAATTACACCTTCGCTTCGTTTGTAGAGCGTGCGGAAAGTCATGCCGCTCCCGTATCGGCTTATACAGCCATGAAAAATCTTGCCTCAGACACTGAATAAATCGTCTGTCACAGACGTATGAGGCCAGGTTCAGGTTCAAATGTCAGGAACCCAATAAAAATAAACCGTCAGTCAAAACCCGTCTATAAGTGGACTAGTAAAAACAAGTGTTGCAAGTAAGATACATACCCCATAACGTACCTGATCCGCAGCCCCATGCGGACGTAGAGCGCGAGGATGATCAGCCCCGGGAGGATGAAGAACAGCAGGCTGCTCAGCTCGCACAGGTACCAGGAGGGCAGCTCCAGATAAATTCATCCAGGAATTGATCCTTAGTCGCCTCTTACGACACCCGTGGGTGATGACATGCCGGCTTCACACGGATAAAACATCACCATAAGAATAAATAATCATCACCTAAATTATTAGGAACTCAATTAAATTAAACCGTGAGTAAAATCCTGTCAATATGTGTAAAAGTAAAAAAAAAGTTGAATAGGTCCATCCTACTTGCACTATCACTGTACTAAACTACTTGAAATGATACTTCTTCTTGCACTGGTAGAATGAACACTTTTATTATTGGACTGTACACTTCTTGAATTCACAAACATCAACTGATTTGGGTCTTATATAGTATCGCCGTGAACAAAGTCATATCGCGTTCTAAAACGATTCTAACGACATCTATTGGACGCCAGCGACGTTAAAAAAAGAGTTGTAAGTAAGATACATACCCCATAACGTACCTGATCCGCAGGCCCATGCGGACGTAGAGCGCGAGGATGATCAGCCCCGGGAGGATGAAGAACAGCAGGCTGCTCAGCTCGCACAGGTACCAGGAGGGCAGCTCCAGATAAACTCATCCAGGAATTTATCCCTTAGTCGCCTCTTACGACACCCGTGGGGTGATGACATGCCGGCATTAGGGTGTCATTTTGACAGCTCCGCTACGCATCCTCGTACGACACATTTTACCTGATCCGCAGGCCCATGCGGACGTAGAGCGCGAGGATGATCAGCCCCGGGAGGATGAAGAACAGCAGGCTGCTCAGCTCGCACAGGTACCAGGAGGGCAGCTCCAGATAAATTCATCCAGGAATTTATCCCTTAGTGGCCACTTACGACACCCGTGGGGGTGATGACATGCCGGCATGTCAAAAACATCATCTAAATGGTCTCGCAAACAAAAGGCAAAAACGACATCTAATTATGCATGTGCCAGTCTCCAATTACACCTTCGCTTCGTTTGTAGAGCGTGCGGAAAGTCATGCCGCTCCCGTATCGGCTTATACAGCCATGAAAAATCTTGCCTCAGACACTGAATAAATCGTCTGTCACAGACGTATGAGGCCAGGTTCAGGTTCAAATGTCAGGAACCCAATAAAAATAAACCGTCAGTCAAAACCCGTCTATAAGTGGACTAGTAAAAAAAAGTGTTGCAAGTAAGATACATACCCCATAACGTACCTGATCCGCAGCCCCATGCGGACGTAGAGCGCGAGGATGATCAGCCCCGGGAGGATGAAGAACAGCAGGCTGCTCAGCTCGCACAGGTACCAGGAGGGCAGCTCCAGATAAATTCATCCAGGAATTGATCCCTTAGTCGCCTCTTACGACACCCGTGGGGTGATGACATGCCGGCTTCACACGGATAAAACATCACCATAAGAATAAATAATCATCACCTAAATTATTAGGAACTCAATTAAATTAAACCGTGAGTAAAATCCTGTCAATATGTGTAAAAGTAAAAAAAAAGTTGAATAGGTCCATCCTACTTGCACTATCACTGTACTAAACTACTTGAAATGATACTTCTTCTTGCACTGGTAGAATGAACACTTTTATTATTGGACTGTACACTTCTTGAATTCACAAACATCAACTGATTTGGGTCTTATATAGTATCGCCGTGAACAAAGTCATATCGCGTTCTAAAACGATTCTAACGACATCTATTGGACGCCAGCGACGTTAAAAAAAGAGTTGTAAGTAAGATACATACCCCATAACGTACCTGATCCGCAGGCCCATGCGGACGTAGAGCGCGAGGATGATCAGCCCCGGGAGGATGAAG